AGAGGATGAGATGGTTAGATAGCATCGCAGAAGCAATAAGCATGAAACTGAGCAAACTCAGAGAGGCAGCGAAGGACACGAAGGCCTGGCGCAATATGGTTCATGGGGTCACGAAGAGTCGGATACGACTTAACGACTAAACAACAAAGCCTCTCAGGCTGTGCAGCTCCACCATCAACAGCTAAAAAAACCCTGTTGCCCATCTCTCAACTTCGTCATGGTCAAGTTTCCCCGCAAATATGCTTTCAGAGTAAAATACAAATTGGGTTAATAAGAAAAGCCAATACAACATGAACAGAGTCATGATACAGGAAAATTAAGTGTTCCTTCATACCAAGCTTCTTCTGAATGGCTTCTAATATACTATCTGAGTCTTGAAGCATGCAAGGTGTGGTAGTGCAGACTTGAATATGATACTTTCCAACAGGCTTACGATTAAACATTGTATAAAAAGTTGCTACTTCATAAACTCTCATAGGAGGCATTTGTAGAATCTCAGCAACCTATAATAAGAGAAGATCATTTTTTACCTGAATATATTTACATATATTATTTAGATATATTAATACTTTTAGCAGAAGCAATAAAAGTCTCACAATGTCTTAATTTTCCTAAATTATAACCCACAGAAACCTTTCCAGAATATAGTAGTAACAGAGTACAATCTGAAGTCAGTAAATACTGTAAAATATTAATTGCAAATTATCTGAGTATTTTTAAGACTGATAAATACTAGTTAGTTATATGAACTGATAGCATTCTAAATTATTTAAGAGATATACAATGAATATTAAAGTTATTTTGTGCGTAATACAGTTCTTGCTCAGTTATACATATACTAAAATATCAGATTAAAGTGAAGTACCTTATTCATAGCTGATATAGGTAGCCATCCATGTTGTCTTTGAGCTAAATCCAGGACTGGGATCACTGCTGAAGATCTGTGTCCTTCTGGGTAGTTGTTTACTATTACATCTATCCTCTATTAAAGAAAATAAATATTACAACTATCAAATGTTTTTGTTTGAAATAGAAATATAGCCTTTCATCCATCAAAGCATGACAGGTTGTCAAAAAGGGATTGAAATGGCATAAAAGCCCAAGTAAGTAAATAAAGAAATAAAGTAAAGATACCTTATAGTTTTCAGGAGTGAAATCAAATGCGGTATTTGGGTTATTTTCAGGAGTATCTCTGTGCTGTACAAATTACAATAAAATAATGAAATTTATACATAGAAAAACAAATTTCAGATGGTCACATGTAGAGAGGTCATAGCTCTTGTATCTTAATAACTGTGCATAGCTTCATGAGGACAGACATCCCTTTTGATGAAGATATGAAAAGCTGTACTTGCAACTGAATTACAGGAACCATCTTCTATGCATTGTCAGTCTACTCAAAATAGTTTCAGAAATAAAATGTTGCATCATGCTATTTAATTAAGCCACACAGAATATGAAAAAATTGTACTAATAGTGAATATTTTAACTATCATTGTTTCAATCTTGCATGTTTATTATGTCAGTTAATGAGTTCATTCCAACAAATTGCAATAATTGGGTGCAGAACTGAAAAGTAAATATTTCTGATAAACCATACAATTTGCATATTGTTTAATTGATCACCCTGAAACTATAAAAATTATTGTATCCAATCAAATATTACAGTGTGATTTGCCTGTTGTCAAATATTCCATGAAGCTAAGCATGCTACCATTATAGGAAATAACTTGTTTTTAAAAATATTATTATACTGTCATTTATGAGCAAGACTCTTTTTCCTCAGCTCTGAGAATCAGGGACAAACTTAGCAGCTACCAAAGCTTTTCCTCCTGATCCCTACTATTAATGGTAGCCATAAATGAGAATATAAACACGAATCAAGATCTGGACCCTTATTTTTATTTATCACTTTGTTTTTTTCAAAAGTTGCAATTTTAGTTTAATCCTTGTATTTTAAGGTAAGACCAAGAACTGTTGAGTAAATTGTTCAGTTTTATAGGAACTTTCAGTAACATTTTTGAGTTGCAAACATTTACATCCATAATGTATCACTACAGTTCATCAACCCCCAGTTGGTGGGGTATAGGCTTCCAAATTTCTAGAATTTCTATTCTCACTTGCATAGAACAGTATAAACATGCCTCCTGCCTCCAAACTAGGCTTTAACTGCATACAAGTCAAAATGAGCCAAAACTGACCAGTACTGTCCTTATCGTTACCAGGAAGTGCTGCATGTGGCACAGGTACATCTAAAGCTGCTAATTTTAGATTATTCTTTCCTTCTCTTAATGAACAGACTTATGTGAAGGCCTATTGGGCAGCAGAAGCCAGTATTTTTTAGCTTATGATGACCATGCCATATGGAACACAGATTTAAAATTTAAAAGTATGAATGGAATGGAATGAAAGAAAGTCTATGCTGTATATTTCTGTAACTAAGGGAAAGGGGATGGATGTAACAGACCTGAATAAAGGTGGTTTGAACTTGTGGACTGGACTGATGAATGCATGTATGGAAATGAAGACTTAATTATGAACATAAAGGATAAAATATATATCTAAAAATGACTTGGACCATTTAGACTGTTGTGGGTACCTATAAAGGTAGGAATTCATAGGTTAGCGATAGTTACATGTTACAGTCCATTGAATGGGGATAGTGAAAGAACCCTGTGTGAATTTCAGGAGAAACTGTATCTTATTATTCTGAATAAGATGATCCAGGAGAAAATGTTACTCTGTTAGATTTTGTAACATGAATGGAAAACTGTTAATGCCAGAGTATATTGAAAGACACCAAGCCATTCAGAGACCCAAGAGTGAATAAGAATGGTGACTGGTAAATATCTGCTTAGGAAAACTGGTTTGTTTAGAATACATGGTTTAATTATAACTCTATATATGTGTAGAGATGGAAAAGGAATAAATATGAATTTTAAAACATGACTGATTTGACAGTTTATAATGGAAGCTTGAGAGAGTTAATGAAGGATACATGGGTGATAGAAAGTTCTGAATATGGGACAGACCACTTTTTTGTAGAGAGAAATGGATCTTGGGAGAAAATGGAAACAGAAGGAAAGAAATTAAAGAAACAAAAGTGAAAGTAGAAAGGATGCAAGAAGAGATAGTACCAGTCCTATATGAAAAGTATTAGAAGACATATTAATTTCCCAATTGAATGTAAGGAAAGAGGCTATGGAACTGCTTGGAGCAGAATGAAAAGAATCATAATACAGAGTACCACAAATGTAAGACATGTGCGGAGTGATACTAAAGGATGCTCAGTGGAATGATGAAGTGAAAGGCTGTGGAAAAGTAAAGTAAGAGAATGATTGCTGCCAAAATGAAGACAAGAGAATGCTACTATGTAATGTGTATAGAAAGAAATGCTAATTCAAAGAGTGTAGTGAATAGAAAGAGTAAGGTATGGTTAAGATTAAGAGGCAAAGAAAATGCAAAAAAAAAAAAATTAATGGATTTTTTAAAAAATCAGTCATATTTTAGAAGTGCATATAAAGGGAGAATGTTCTACATTCATGATGATTCCCATCCAGATTTTAAAAAATACTATCAAAGAATTCTGTCACAATTCCATCTCAAATCATTTCATAATTTTTATTTTAAATTGCATTCACTTTGCTAATCGGAATGGAGAGGGAGGTATAGTGCAGCAGGGAGAGAAGATCCCCCTTTTCCATTGGTAAAAATACCCTGCTCTATCAGACTCAGTTATTTAGCTGAGTTTAACTTTCATTGTAGAGAACAAGCTAAAGGCTATTCTCCAAGCCTGGGGATAGGATGGTTATGGAGCCCCTTTTAATTTAGCTTAGTTTTCTTATGTTTGGCCATGTTCTCTTTTATATGAACTGTTTTTTTCTTTTATTCCTAAGCCACCCAGAGTCATCAAGAAGGTTTGGGTTTGTTTTGTTTATTTTGGTTTGGTTGGGGTTTGTTTGTTTGTTTGCTTTGTTTTGGTGCCTTTGAGTCAGTCCTGGACAAGCCCCTGCAATTTTCTTGGCAAAGTTTTTCAGAGGTGATTTGCCCTTGCCTGCTTCCTAGAGCTGAGAGAGAGTGACTGGCCCAAGGTCACCCAGCTGACTTTGTACCTAAGGCAGGACTAGAACTCACAGGCTCCTGGTTTCTAGCCTGATGCCTTAACTACTACACCAAACTGGCTCTCATTGAGGAATTGGGTGGCCTCAAATAAATAAATAAAAGTAAATAGAACAGTCTCCAATATAAACAAAATTGGTTAACATGAAAAAAAATACAATTATGTAACTCTAAATGTAAGGTTGCTAATTCAAATAAAGATATCTGATACAATGTAACTGGCTTATGATCTAACTGCAGATAAACTACTGCATCTGATACAAACCCCAGGGATCTTAGAAAAGCAATATGAATGTAATTCTAATGTCATTAAACAGCAAACAGTTACTAAGATAATAGTCCAAGTCCTCAATACGTTGGAATACTTTGAGCCAACCTGCTACAGAACTGAAGCTTCCTGAAGGACCCCTTCTGTCTATGGCAGATAGAATGAATTCTGTAGTAATTATACTTTCCCCCCATCATGTTAAAATCAGCGATAAAAAAAAAAAAAGGAGAAAAAAGTGATGCCCATTGTCAAAACACATTGGCAACAGCTTTCAGAAATATGTACTGGAAACAGAATATTCTTTTTTTACCCAAATGAAGTAAACCAAGATCCAAATAGGCAAGCAGTTTTGTGCCAGATCAATTAGGATATAGCACTAAATTAAAATGGAGTAAGCAATTACTGAACAGAACTTACAGAACACTTATTTTGTGTTTCCTATTCTTCTCCTAGACTGAAAAAAAGCAAGCTGGCACCATTGCAATTAATTTGCAACCAACTCATCAAATCTTTACAACATCATCTCTAACTTTAAGATCCTGGTAAGATCTATCTTGCTATATATTTCAGTTCTAAAATCAAAACCAGCCTTAAAATTCCTCCCACCAATTATTCCAATTGCCCTTCCTGCTATACCTTCTTCAACCTTTTCCTTTACTCCCCATTTAAGTTTATGATTTCATTTATATCATTCTTCCACATGATGTCTTGATCCTTTCAATGTATGCTGTCCATTTCTCCAAATGCTATTCCTCTTCTTCAAAACAATCTTCCCATTCCCAATTCCTTTTTTCTGTTTTCAAATATCCTTCCTTGTTTTCATAAAAGAATCCCTTGATTTATCTACTCTCTCTGCTATCCCTTCCCTCTAAACTCTTGGAGAGTACTGCTGTGATCCAATAACCCCACTGTGGAGAGATGTTTCTGCTTTCCTTTCACTATTGTTATCTGTCAGTCTCTGTTCTTGGCCCACCATTCTGTTCTTTTCAAGCAATCTTTGGATGGCCTCATTATACCTTCTGACTTTTAGTACCAACTGTATGCTATTTGTATATGGTTCTATTTTTTTTACTGAGAATTTTTTCATTCTCATCAATCTTGTATTTGCAACTGTTCTCCAATATTTTCTAATAATCCAAATGGATTATGGAACATTTCAGACTCAACATATCTAAGGCTAAATTGCTCTACCCAAGACTATCTCTCCTGACAACACTCTTCTCCACTGATAACCACAATACTAATAGGCATAAAGTATTCCTTTGTTCCTGGTATTCAGCCTAGCCCTACACCAAAAAACATTCCTATTCTTAATAACTGCAAATACGTTTTCTTTCTCTTTAACAAATTATCTATCTATACCTTAACCTTCATTTAGTCTCTCTGCAATTTCTTTACAGTCCTTTACTATCTCAATTTTGATCCCTCACCTCTGTTCGCTATTCCAGAGTCAAAATAATTTACCACCTCGTGGCTCTGGTAACATTAATCTCTCCCACCAAGAAAACTCTTCATTAGTTTCCATTCTACTAGATAAAAAAAGAACTGCTTTAGTTTTACCTTAAAGCCTCTCATAGTTTATTTCTCTATTTTCACATTTAGTACCCCCTCTCACAATTAATTTCACTCTTCCTAGGTCTTCTGTTCCCTCAAAACTTGTTTTCTCTTTTCCTGACCTTTATGCTCAGAACTGCTTTATCTATATAAAGCTACCTCCCTTCAAATGTCTCCTCAAAACTCACCTTTCCTGCAAAAGTGCTATATAACCCCTTAGCCTTCTTATCTCTTGTTGAATAAATAAGTCTTTGTCCATATAACTGAATGTCATTTTTCTATTTCTACTCCAATATTTTTTTCTCAGTGTTGAATTTTATACTGTAAATTCTGTGCAGGCAGGAGCCTACCTTTTTATTTGGTAATGCCTTACAATTCTGTGGCACCATATCAGTTACAAGCCAAAATAAAAATTAAAAGCAGTAATTATTTTCAAGCAGCAATAACTGAAGTTACAGTGAAACAGCAGAGAATTTGAAATAAAGATGCACATTCATTAATCATGTCAGGAAGAACAAATTTACAATATTCTATTTTCTTATGCCTAGCAATCAGTTAATAATGAATAATTTCCAGAATTACAAGTTGGGAATAAACTGTTTTCTTCTCATTTTTTTCTGAGGAGGAGAAAAAAAAAAAACAGAGAAAATTAAAAGTTTGAGGTGAACACTGGAAAAAAAACCCCTCTAATCAAGTATTTTCTCTTTGGAATGACTAAAATGCTTTTTAACACACTATTTTAAACCCAAAATATCAATATGTTTATGTAAAATTAATTTATATTGTTAGAAATTCAGTGTTATAAAGTTTAATTTAACAACTAAATATGCTACTAATCCTCAATACTGTAACCATACCAGACTAGTTGTTCAATAAATATACTTTTTAAGCTACAAAATCTGTGGTTTATATTTCCAACTTTGATTCTTTCCCACTTCATAGATGACAAAAACAGTAATCTGCTCAGATAGAATCACACATTCTCTATTATTCTGTACATCTGTCATTTTTGTGTATATAAAACTAATGGAAGAAGCCTATGCATGACTGCTCAATTGGATATATATGTGTATAACAGACAGACATGTATACTTTGGGGGCTGATATTCTCTACACACTTATTGGAACTACATTTCATTAAACAAAATGAGCTTTTCTTCTAAGTAAACATAATTGTTCAGTAGGTTCATACATTTGCCATATATGCAACCAACTACAAGACTATATATAGCAGTTTCATTATTACTAATAGAAAGGAGGTGCAACTTTATTATAAATACCCACTAACAAATTGCCCATAAATAAAAGCCACATTTTTCCATTTTACTTAACATTTGGTATAATCATATATGTAAACTACTTACCACAAACAGAGTTCCACCACCACTTCTGCATTTTGTTGATGTATGAAGGCAGCGAATATGTGTCACCTATAAATATTTCATATAAAGTAAACAGATTGTGTCTCCAATTAAAGCTAAGAGACCAAACTGAGTTTAAAATATGCTTAAATCCTCACTGAATTCAGTGTGTCTATTTTAGGTTACTGTACTTGTGATAATTAGTCTACTCTACATATAAACCAGAAGTATACAGTATTAAATGAAAAGCAAAGTAGGTAATAACAATATATCTAAAAATATGTTAACGTTTCAAATCTGCCCTCTTCCTGCATCTAAATCTCTATGATTTAACAGGAGAAATACCTGCAGGAAGTTCAGAATAGGAAAGATAAACAGCTTGAACAGTCTTGCTATAGCCTGCTCTTCAGAAATCCTTATAATGCTCCTTTTCTACAGGAACTAAAAAAAAGAAAGCCGTGAAAGGCATCCTATCCAGAGAAATCTTCAGTGCTTTTGTGACATGATCAACAATAATATTCATCCCCTCCTACACATCTGCCTACATGACTAGAATCCTGAGAAGTAGATTATAAATCTTTAATATAGAGGCATCTAGCAGCTGACTTATTATCTTTGCTGGCACACTAAAGAAACTGCAAGTTCTGAAATAATAAAATTTGTTATCTTCGTAATAATATTGTTATATTATGACTTTAAAACAGCCTAAAAACAGTTCCCTAGTAAAATGGATTAGGAAATTATTGCAAACAAGGAAATTGTTCATTTTTGAACAAAAATTGGATGACAAGGGGGTGAGGAGATTGACAGAAATATGCTCAGGGAATACAGTTATTCTTTGAATGAGTTTAAATCTCCAGAACAAATGAACTATATTCTAGGGTACTAAAGGAACTAGCTGATGATCTGGCCAAAGCTGTACGTATTCTCCTTGAGGAATCCTAGACAACTGATGAAATGACAGATGACTGAATGATAGCAAATGTCCCTAACTCCAAAGAAAAAAGAAAAACAAAAGCAAAACCAAGCTCCAACAAACTATAGACTAGTCAATATGATTTCAACATTGAATATTCAATATTTCTGAGAAGATTCCAGAGCAGATAATAAAAAGATACAGTACCCTGAAAACAATGTGGTAATTGCCAGAAATCAGAACAAATCTTACCAGACTAACTTGACCTCTTTTTGATCATGTAATTTCCTTAATGGATTCTGGGAATGTTACAGCCATAATATATCTTAATTTTGAAAGCATTTGAAAAAGTATTCAATTATAAGTTAATTAGCAAGCTAGTTAAGTGTGGAATAGATACTCTGACAATTAAGTGGATACCCAGCAGACTCAAATCATATTCAAAGAATGTTCATTACTGATTCCTCATCAGGAGGATCTTAACAAACTGGAACAATAAGCAGAAAGTTACAACAGGGACAAATGTAAATTTGTATGTTTGGAGAGCTAAAGCTAAAGCTTAGATCTGTGCCCCACCTGGCTGGTAAAGGCCTTGCCGGAGGTGACAAGCGGGTCGGTAATGGCGGTGGTTAATGCATCCTTGAGTGAGGGGGTGGTGCCCCAGCCCTTCAAGGAAGCTGTGGTTCACCCCCTTCTTAACAAGCCATCGCTAGACACTACCTGATAACTTTCTTCCTGTCTCCAACCTCCCCTTCTTGGAGAAGGTTGTTGAAAAGGTGGTTGCACTGCAGCTCCAAAGGATCCTGGATGAAGCAGATTATCTGGACCCCTTTCAGATGGGATTCAGGCCTGGTTACGGGACGGAAATGGCATTGATCATGCTTTTTGATGATCTCTGGTGGGACGAGGATGGGGTAGTTCGTCCATCCTTGCTCTACTTGACCTCTCCGCAACTTTCAATACCACCAACCACAGTATCCTTCTGGAGTGGGGGTTGGGAGTGGGGAGCACTGCACTGCCCTGGTTCACTTCCTTCCTCTGAGACCATTTTCAGTCGGGGTTGGTCGGGAGCAAGAGATCCAACCCATGGCCCCTGCTTTGCAGGGTCCCACAAGGGCCGGTGCTTTCTCTGCTCGATCATTCATCACCATGAGGTGAGATATCATCAATATGCTGATGATACTCAATTATACATCTTTGCCCATGGTGGGTTAAGTGATGCCGCAACTGCCCTTTCTTGGTGCCTGGAGGCTGTTGAGGTCTGGATGGGGAGCAACAGGCTGAAACTGAACCCTAGCAGGACAGAGTGGCTTTGGATTCAGGGCTCCTTGGTTCTGAGAGAATTACCATCTTTGGTCATAGATGGGGTGGCACTGCCCCAGATGGACCTGTTGCACAATCTGGGGGTTCTCCTGGACTCACAACTCCTGCTCAAGGAGCAGATGGCAGTCATGGCCAGGAGGGCCTTTGCTTCTGGGTCCAATTCAAGGTGCTGGTTATCACCTTTAAAGCCCTACATGGCTTAGGGCCTGGTTATTTGCAGGACTGCCTTTCCCCAGTTACATCTACCCAGCCAACCAGAACAGGGAGGATGGTTCTGTTGCAGGTCCCATCATTGAGGGAAGTTCAACTGATGGGATCATGAAGAAGGGCCTTTTCTGTGGTGACCCCCTCCCTGTGGAATGTCATTCCCTCTGAATTAAGATTGGTCCCCACCTTGATGTTGTTCCGGAAGGCCCTGAAGACATGGTTTTGCCAGTGGGTCTGGGGACCCCAAGCTGAAAAGGAGCCGATCAAGTGGTTGTGTTGTGTTTTTTGGCCACTGCGGGAGGTGGGTGTTGATGGGTTTTTGTATTGGGGATTTTACTCTGTAAGCCGCCTGGAGTCACTGTGTGTGAGTTGGGCGACCATATAAATTTGCTAAATAAATAAATAAAAGTAAAAAGATAAGTACAGGATGGGGATGACCATAATGGGCAGCAGCACATGCAAAAAGGATCTCGTGTCTTGGTGGATCACAAGTGAACATAAGCCAAAAGCATGATGCACCTGTTAAAATACTACTAACAACAACAACAACAACAATAATCCTGGATTGCATCAATAAGCGCTTACTACCAAGATCAAAAGAAGTCATTGTTCCTATGACAGCATGCAGTCATCCATGACTCTCTGCTAACCTTCACATGTCCTGCCTTATACTGTAAGTTGTTCTTTCTATGTAATTATGGGTGGGGAGAGATCCAAAAACCTGCTGAAGACCACCATTGGACAAATCTACCCAATGTAGATGACTTCTAGGAAGCAGAATAGGAAGGGAAGTCACATACTGCTAGCCAGAGAAAGAGACTGACAACCTGAGAGAATGCCAGTCAGGGTAATTAAAACCTTTATTTGTTTTAAGTAGAAAGTAGGAATAGAATGTAGATTTAGCAGTGCTCATATTTAGCCAACACTCTAGATTGCACACATAACTGCAGACTTTACCAGAAGGAATCTTTTCTTTACTAGTAAAGAAGTAATTTAGCCTTGGAATGCTTAGAAACTATAAATGTCAACTCTCTGACGAATTTTGCTTTTGGTTATGGATTTACTGCTACAGTGCATCCAGAAAGTAT